GTCCACCGCCACCCCCACCACCTCCTCCGCCCCGGCCACCTCCCCCGCCGCTGCCGCCACCCCCCTCACTGCTGCCACCTCCCCCACCCGCGCCACCCCCCCCGCCACCACCACCTCCCCCACCACCGCCACCCCCGCTGTCACCACCACCGCCCTTGCCCCCCTTGCCCTTTCCGCTGCGGCGCCCACTCGAAGCAGACGCAGTCTCGACCTTCTCAGCACCAAGGAGGTCGACAGCAGCAGCAGAGGCGACAGAGGGAAGAAGGGGGGAGGGAGAACACCCCTCAAAGAACGGGGTACGGGGGTCACCGCGAGAGGCACCTACAGCGACTATGCTAGCCTCAGCTGCAAGGAGTTCCTTCTCGAGGAGGGCAATGGCGAGCTCGGTGGGGCAGCGAGCTAGGAAGTGGTCCCTGACTGAGCGCAGAGTGTCAGGGAGGCGCGTGACTAGGTGGTAGAGAGTGAGCCAGAGCGGGGGTGGGTTCTTGGCAAGGAACTCATCAGGCATAGCGGCGCGGAAGCGAGCCTCACTAGTGCGGAGGTGGGTAATGAGATCAGCGACAGTGTGGAAGGAAGCTAAGTCGGGGAACAGGTAGGGAAGAGAGAGACGGCCTAGAGCGGCAGAGGCCGGTGAGGAGTAGCGGGCAACGACAGCAGTGTACAGTGCCTGTGCAGTCTTGTGCTGCCCAAAGTGCTCGCGCTCATCTATCGGCAGAGAGTTGCGAATAGCGAAGCGAGCATGGGCGTCACGAGTCTGCCACTGTGAGCGGGCAGTGCTGTCAGCAGTAGCAGCAGGAGCAGTAGCGTGGCCTAAGGCGTGATCGTACAGCGAGATGTCTTCCTTGGCAGTGAGCTGTAGGAAGAGGTGTAGGTCATCAAGCCAGGTGTCGAACTTCACTGGGCGGCCCTCAGCATCGAAGGCTAGCACAGGAGGGCTAGCCATGGTAGCAGCAGTAGGAAAAGCAGTAGGAGCAGTAGGGTAGTAAGGGCGGCGCGGCTCGGTACATGTAGGGTGGCGCGGCTCGGTATAGGTAGGGCGGCGCGGCTCGGGTCGGGCGGCGCGGCTCGGTTCGGGCGGCTCGGGTCGGGCGGCGCGGCTCGGTTCGGGCGGCTCGGTTCGGGCGGCTCGGGTCGGGCGGCTCGGTTCGGTTAGGGCTGGCGGCTCGGGTCGGGCGGCTCGGTTCCGTTAGGGCTGGGCGACTTGGGTCGGCTCGGTTCGGGCTGCTCGGTTCGGGCGGCTCGTTCTGGGTGGGGCCGTTCGGGGCCGCTAAGGGCGAGCGTGGGGAGTGGGTGGGGCCGTGAGGGACGAGCGCGGGGCCGACGTGGGCGCTAAGGGCGAGCGCGGGGCCTATCGGGGCCGTGAGGGACGAGCGCGGGGCCGATCGGGGCCGTAAGGGACGAGCGCGGGGCCGACGTGGGCCTCTAAGGGCGAGCGCGGGGCCTATCGGGGCCGTGAGGGACGAGCGCGGGGCCGATCGGGGCCGGAAGGGACGAGCGCGGGGCCAACGCGGGCCTCTAGGGGTAAGCGCGGGGCCGATTCGGGGCCGTTAAGGACGAGCGCGGGGCCGACGCGGGCCTCTAGGGGTAAGCGTGGGGCCGATTCGGGGCCTCTAAAAGCGAGCGCGGGGCCGACCGAGGTCTCTAGGTGCGAGAGCGCGGGGCCGACGGGGCCTCTAGGGGCGTGAAAGCCGAGGCGCCCTAGGGCGTAGGTAGGTAGGTAGGTAGGTAGGTAGGTAGTGGTGGGCCCTAAAACAATTCGGTCCTAGGAAGGACCTGCTCTATACCATGTTGAACAAGAATGAATGAACTAACAATGAAATGAGTACAAGTATGAAAACCTAGAAATGTGTACCCCCTATAGGCTAACCCACTGTAGCCTAAACAACTACAACAACATATATAATGTTTGACAGGCAGACGTGGTCGCCGACCTCTCGTAGGATTGTCTGCTGTCCCGACCTGCCAGATACCGCCGACATAGAATACGCATTTAGTAGTTTATCGACCTCACCACGCCGACTTCCCATCGCCCTAGGTCGCCGTATCATGGCCAGAGGACAGCCTCGATCGACACCGCCACAAACCAACCCACCGCCCGCCGATGTCGACATGACGGACGTTCCGAACCCCGCTAGCCAGGGTGAGGACGTCCGCCCGGTAGACCGTACACCGACCAGTAACCCCTCGTCGACTTTGCCGCTGCTTTACGATCTCGACGCCCTGGCCCAAATCCCGCAGGGAGAGTTCACCAAGGACGTTCCGCCCGCGCCCATAGGGGAGTTCACGAAACCACACAAAACGTCGACGCCGACGGATGCAGGGGAGGCCGGGCCGTCGTCTGTGCCGGACGGATCGGGCAACCAGGATGAGGACGATTATTCATCGGCGAGCGACGAGGACGACGAAGACGACCCGCGGCCCCGACGTGGTGCAGGTCCGCGCACGTTGGAAGAAAAGCTCAGGGGGGAACGTGCGTTCATAGAGGAACTGTTGGACGAGAACGAGCTTGAGGATCTGCTGCACACGTCGGTCCCTCGAGAAATGTGGAAGGCGGCCGACTTCGTAGAGGAAGATATGGTGTACGCGTGCGTCGACGTGCTCGGGATGGAGGCAATGCGCCACCTGAAAACCATAGAGGCCAAGAGCACGCTCAAGTCCTACAACTCATGGATATACGACTACAAAAGGTGGACGGCGAAGATGCTTAAAAAAATTGGCGACAAACTGCCGACAGCAGAACAAACGAAGCACGTCGACGAGATAGGGCACTGGACACACAACAACAAGAGCAAGGATTGGGACAACGAGAAGGTGGTCAAGCGGAAGCACATATGGCTGCACGGCCCCCGGGTCACTAGTACGCGGCTGCGCGCCTACATCAAGTTCATGAGGCGGGAGTACAAGATCGACGTCGAAACGAACGCGCCAGTGCGAGCCTACACGGTGCACATGATCCTCGGCCGCATCAAGGCCTGCCAGATGGCGGCGAGGGTGGAGGCGACGCTCTACAAGGAGAAGGAGTTGGGCATCATGCGGGAAATCTCGGTGGTCCGGTCGGAGGTGCGGGTCATGGTCTGCACGAAAAATCAGAGGGACCTCGAGTAAGTTGGCATGCATCGCCGTGTTATGTCGCCATCGATTTGTGTTCCTCGCCCTAATATTCATATCCATATATTGTTATGTCGACAGTAAATGCGCCGACCGTCGACGCGGCACCATCGGCGACACATACACCGCCGAACAGTTCCGCCAGATAATGACGAGGGTGCTGCCGGCTTGGGCGGCGTCGGCATGGAGCCCGCATTTCACCACACCTTCGCAGACGCTGTGGAGGTTTCTTCTCATCAAGGTGCTCACGCTGCTCTCCCACCACAGCCTCATGCGCGGTGCAAGCATACGCGAGATAACGCTCCCCGACATCTTCCTGTACCGACTGGCGAGCACCTCGTCGGTGAACCCGGATAACCAGCCGGTCGTCATGGTGGTCGCCGCGCGGAACTCGAAGACGTCGAAGGATGCGCGTCTTCAACAGAGCTACGCGGCGCGGCACCTAGAAGCGGAGTTGTGCGCCGTCGGCGAGACCGGGCTGTGGTTACACTTCGTCCTCGACCAGATCGGCCAGTTTCACGGCGTCGACCTCATTCCGCCGGTCGACACCAGCACACGCGAGCTCTGGTACAAGAAGCACCTGTTCTTCGCCCGCAACGACCCCGAGCAGGGCGAAATCTCAGCTCCCAGCCACCAGCGATGGACGAGGCAAATGTGGAAGACGAACGGGGTGTTCTGCAAGCGGAACGTCCATGCCGCTCGGGCAGGCGGGGCGCAGGAGTTGGCCATCCACGGTACGCCTCGCGCCGAGATAGCCGAGCTGGGTCACTGGGCTCTCGACAAGATGACTCGAGCCTACATCACATCCATTCCCGTCGGCGTGGTGATGAAGAAGGCCGGCTATTCGGGATTCACGCAGGACTACTTCTTGGGTCGCAGCAGGGTGGAACCGGGAGACGAACTCCTCGCTCTCATCGCCGAGCACATCTTCCCCGGCGTCGACGACCTCCTCAAGAAGGTATGTTTATCGGTGCCGACCAAGCTTGCATGGTACTGTCCTATCCACCACGGCAATAACCCACGTCTGATGTCTAACTGCAGGCAGAAGAACTCGCGAAGAAGGGGTCCAACGCCGATGTTGCGGCCGTGCATTTCTGGCGCACCCTTGTGATGTTCCGCCGCATTGTCGCCGAGGACCTCGCGGTGGAACTCGTCCGCACCCCTTGGCACCCGTACATCCAGTATTCCAAGCTCTGCCGGATTCCCCTCTTCCAGCACTGGGCGAAGAGGGTCGAGAAGACCGACACCGACACCATAAAAAAGCGGCAAGATCCAACCCTCATCCAGCCAGAGGTAGGTCATCTTTTATGTCGACGTCGCGATGTTATCTATGACCGCTACAACCCCTCATCTGCACCGTTATTCGCCTACCATTGCAGGAGATATCGGTCCGCCATGACGCCCAGTATGCGGTCCTCTCCCTCACGGAGACGCTTAAGCTCGAGAGGGAGCGGTCAACGGTCCAGAAGCTCGACCTCGAGGAGAAGATCGAGAATCGCGACGCAACCATCGCGTCGCTCGCGGCCGAGATTACACGCCTCACCGAGGCTCTCCGCGTTTCAGAAGCTCGAAGGATGCCGGAGGCGCCGCCAGCTGCTAACGACCAGTCGCCGAGCGACGGTGGCTCCGCGGAGTCGGCAAGCAGGGGTGGATGAGCCAACAAACCCAATAAACCCCCACAGACGGTCAAGGAGGCTAGCTACGAGCTGAACATAGTGCAGCCTTGGCGGACTGCAACGACCGTCAAGGACGCGTGGCGCCTCTGGACCTCGTGCACCAGCGCCGACACCCGTCGTCTGTGCGACAGGTTCAGGGAGCCGTGATTCGTCGACCGCCACACCCTCCTCGACGGAGCCTCGCAAGGAGCACACGGGAAGAGGGTGCACCGCATGATGAAGGTCATCGATGCGGTGGGCCAGCTTCGCATGAGCGACGGCGAAGCCGACACGGAAGCCACCGTCGACGCGCTTAACAAGATAGCGGCGCCTGGCATTGGGACCTTTGCGGATGCCCTTACGGTGCTCAACGCGGACGCCGTAGCGACCTATGCCGGGCAGGGTAAGGGCGTCAAAGGGCTCGGCAAGATGGAAGTTTCCAAGCTTCGTGTCGCCTATGCGTTCGTGGCGCGCGGGTTAAAGCCCGAAACGTGGGTCGCCGACCTGTTCCCGGACACCTGGGTTGAGCAGATGAAGAAGACGTTGGCCGATCTGGCCCGCGAAAACGACGCCGGGCAGCTGCCTCCGACCAATAAGTCGACCAAGCGCAAGAAAACCGCGTGAATGTTCCCAGGCCTCCTGCTACTGTGGGCTGTTGCATGTTGTAGATGTTGATGCAGCATGCCTATTTTTCATACTGATACTGATGTCGACTTTTTGTTTCTCACAATGATCCTTTTGTTCTTGGCCTAGCGGGGCATTCACGTGTCGTTCAAACTGAAGTAGACAATCATTACTAGCTAATGTGTTCATTACTCATCCTACGTAAAGTAGACAGGCACGCACACAAAGAAACACAAACAACGAGTATCAAAGGGATCCGACAGCCAAAACAAGGAAAACGATATCGACCATTGCATCATCGAGTCCACGCAGCACTCAATCTTAGCAGGCCATCGACTAGGCCGTCGTGCTGTCCTTCTTCGACTTCTTGCCCTTCTTCTCCGTGCCGCCCTTGGCCTTCGTCCCCTTCTTGCCCCTCAGACCCTTCCTCCCCCTGTTGTCAAGATCGGCCTTCATCTGCGCGTCAATCGGCACCGCGATGTCCCTCGCTCTTAGTTTCGGCCCGGCGACGGGGCACATTCCCCAAAACGCCATCGTCTCAACCGTCGCTCTAGCGATAACGTCGGCATCTACTCCAACATTTCCCCCCGGATAGACCCTATCAAGGGTGGTCCTCTGGAGTGCTGGCGCGACGTTGTAGGCAACCTCTCCCAGGGGGCGGTCCCTGTTCATCTCGGCTTTCAGCACCGCCTCCATGACTTTTCCGAATACATCGGCGGTCGCCTAGCTCGCTCCGCCGATGATCGCCGCCGACTTCCCTTCTTCCACAGCATCCGCCAGCTGGGCATCGCCGTTCTCGACAAAGCACCACACAGCGCATGCGGATGCAGCTAACGCCCATGCCGCCATATCCGTCTTCTCCTCCTTGTCTCCCTCCTTCTTCACCGTTGCCGCAGCGGTCTTCCCATATGCAGCGCACATTGACACGCGGCCTATCATCGCCGACATCATGGACGCCGACTTCTCCCGGCCTTCCTCGGTGCTAGCATCGACTGGGTACCATATCGCTGGCAGGAGCGCGGCGTGGAGACAATCGCCTGTGGACTTGTAATGGCGATACGCGTCGAGGATCTCTGTCAGCCTGTCACGCCACCACAAACAGGGCGAACATTAGTGGCAACGACAACGACATCGACTTTGGATCGGAGGATTGCCGACTTACCGTGTCTTTGGAAGGAGCGTACCCCGGGCCCACTTCACCGTCCACATCCCTGTCGGCAAGATCCTGACCTCCTCCCACACCTCCTTCCACCTCTCCAATTCGGCGCTGTCCAAGCCGGTGAGCTCGGTCATGAGCACCTTGCTCACGAAACCGTCGTAGATGACGTACGCGATGGAGTGAACATACGCGAGCTCCATCTTGTCCCGCGACTTGCCGATGTATCGATTGATGCCGTGCACCTTAATCTCGCCGACCCACCCTTGCTTGTCGCTCGAGGTATCGTGTCGGATGCCATGCCCCCTCCTCTCCTTGCCCTTCCCCTCCTCCTCCTCCTCCTCCTCCTCCTCCTCCTCCTCCTCCTCCTCCTCCTCCTCCTCCTCCTCCTCCTCCTCCTCCTCCTCCTCCTCCTCTTCCTCCTGCTCGACCTCCTCCACCTCCTCGACATCCTCATCCTCCTCCTCCGCCTTCCTCTTTCCCTTTCTCCCCTTCTTGGAACCCTCGCCGACCGCCTTCTCCTTCCCCTTTCTCCCGGTCGACGCACGTTCTCCGACCGACTTGTCCTTCCCCTTCCTCCCCGGCCACATGTGCCGTGTCAGAGATGGCCAGGGTTCGGGGATTGGCTGCATCCAGATGGGCCTGTATGGCAGCGATATCATCGTCTGCGGGGACCTCCTCAACGGCGCCGCCGCCGGTGGCAAGCGCGGCACGAACGCCCTTCTCCGCCGCCTTCTCCACATCAGCTGCCACATGGGTGGGTGGTGCGACATTCGCCGACGACGGCTTAGAGCCAGAGCCAGAAGCCTGCTGATTCCTCTCAGTCGATGCTAGTGCGCCCACCTGGGCACGCAGCAACGCGGACTTTGGGTCTTCAGGAGTACGGGCGGCGACGACCGGCACTACACGTGGCACACTGGCCGATGGGACGTCGACAGCAGGGGGGGGCTGTTGAACAGCCCTGTGGCCGGCTAGGAGCCTGAGCTGCTCCTTGAGCGCGTCCGCAACTACCGCCCCTTTTCCCGCGCGGCCAACCTTGTCGGCAGACAATACGTCGGCATGGCGCGGGACGTCGGTAGGTCGCCCGGCAGACGGTCCGGTCGGATGGCGTGCACCCGCGGGAGACTGGTGAGGAACCGCTGACGCCTCCGCAACCCCTGTCTTCGGGCCCTGGCCAGCTTTCCCGGACCCGCCTGGGGCCGTTTTGGTGGCGGCCTTCTCCTTGTCGCGCAGTCCTTTCTCACCGCTACCCTGTCGTGGTGGCTTAACGCCGACCGAAGGCGGAGCCATTGGCAGTGCGTCATCAGTGGCATGCTCGTCGGCGGGACCCCCACCACCATGGCCCGTGCTGGCCGCTCCAACCTGAGCCCAGTGCTTCCTGAGGATGTCGACCATGCTCTTCCCCGACTGCTTCAACGAACTGCCGTCGCCGGCTCCCATGCTCCCATCGCCGGCGACGCGAGAACCAACCGCTCCCTTGGTCCGCCTCGCGCCCGCCGAATCATCTCCGTCCCCCCCCCCCGCCGCCTCCTTCTCCGGCCCCCTTGCTCCCGTCGCCGGCGACGCGAGACCCCCCGCCTCCCTTGCTCCGCTTCGTGTTCGCCAAATTGTCCCCGTCGCCCCCCCCCCCCCCCCCCCCCCCCCCGCCTCCCCGCCTCTTGTGACCCAGCTTCAAGCCCTCCGTAGGTTGCGCTTGGCCGGCGTCGTTTGCCGACGGCGACGACCCACGCCGAGCATTCGCCACCGTGCCGACGACCTCGGTCATTATCTTCAGTCCGGAGGCGAGAAAGGACTGCTGCGTGGTCTCCGTCACCGCCTTCAGCACGTCCTCCTTGAAAGACTTCAGGAAATCTTCCGGCAAGGCCTGCGCTGGGGCGGTAGGCGGCGGCGGCTGGACTAGGCGGGGCGAGACGGCGGCGGCAATGTTGGTCTGCGCGGCGCCGATGTATTTGATGAACGGCTCCTCCAACCCCTTCCTCGCCTCGCCCACCTCAGCCGTCACGTGCTCGGTCAATGTCTTCACCGCGGTCGCGCGTGCGACCGCCGCTCGTCCCTTGGGGTCATCAAGATCCAGCAGCGTCTGCCTCGCTAGCTCGGCGAAGGACTTGGCCGATTGAATGGCGCTGTCCATGTTGTCGGTGAGGCCCTCGGTGATTGTGGTCGCCATGGTCGACGTGGCCTCTTTGAGGCGCTCCTCCGATTTCCGGACGGTGTCGGCGACCTGGGCGGTCAAACCCTTCACCTTCTCGAGGAGCCCAGCTAATGCCGCCGCCAAGCTGTCGACCCGCCCCGTCTGCTCACCGAGCCGCAGTTCAAGGCGTGCATTGTCTGCACGCAATCGCCTGTTCTCTGCCCTCAGCTGATCGACGACGTCCAGCCGCGCCTGCCGCCCAGCCGCGGTGGAACCGGGATGACCGCTCGCCGCCTTCTTCCTCCTAGACCGCTCCCCGCCGGCCTTCTCCGCGGTGGCATTGGTATGCACATCCACGCCCCTCTGCTCCGGGACCGCGGCGTTATCCCCTTCACCGACCTCGACCATGCCACCACCTCCGTGAGCCGCCTCCACGCCGACCTCGCCGATATTCGCTGTCGCACCCTTCCCCTCCCATTCGTCGTTCTTGACATCCGCCGATCTCCCACCCGTTTCCTCCGCTCCTCCAACAACGTACCCCTCCGCCATTTCCACGTCCTCCACCTCTACCAACTGCTCCTCCTGGTGCTGCCTCTTGTGCTCCTGCGTCTCCTGCTCCTGCTCCTCCTCCGACTCCAACTCCGAGCCCGACCCCGATCCCGACCCCGACCTCGACCCCGACGACTCCTCCGAGCCCCCCTCACCCTCACGTTCCTCCTCGCGATCCTGGACCCCATCATCATCCCCGTGAACAACCTCAGTCCCGGTCACCCCCTTTCCTGCGGCCGCATCGGCCTCGTCGACGCCGACTCCCGACTTGCCACGCGCATCAGCGACGTTCGGGGCGACCCCTACTGCTACGGATGCAGAATGGACTTCCTCGCCGTCGTCGTCACAGGCGTCGGCAGCAACAACGGTTTTCCCCGACCGTATGAGCGGGACTTGCTTCTTGATGAGGGCTACCATCTCGTTCCGCAGCGCCTTCAACCCCGAGACGGTGGGCTTGTCCATGCTGGTGGCAATGCGACGGAGGTCGCCGGTCAGGCGCTGGAACCGCCTCACAACCCAGATCAACGCGCTCATTGCTAGCAGGCCGGAGCCCGCGTCCGAGTCCCGGACGGTATCGGGAATTTTCTGCATACAACAGTGCAGAAGGATGAGGGCGGCGTAGATGTGACACCATATGACGGCGAATCGTCCGGAACTCACATCTCGAAGGGGTTCGTCGCAGTCGGCGAGCCTCGCCTGCACCTCGTCTTCGGACGGCTTCGCCCACTCCCATTTCCTACCCTCGCGCCGCAGCTCGGCCAGAACAGCGGTCCGGAAAAACCTGCAAAAGCACGGCAAGGACGGTCGGTTAGCACGGTGCACGCGCCGTGTCGACAATGTATGCGATGTCGACTAAACTATCGAGCTCACTTCAGCACGCGGATCGCCTCGTCGCGGTGCCACTCCTTCACTGTCTGCGGGTCGGCGTGCCGGATCGAGGTCCTGACCTCCTGCCCCGAGGCATTGAACAAATCGCCGGGGCACAGGATGAGAACGACGCTGCAATGTGCTCCCGGAAGTGGTGCGATGCTGCACAGACAAGGCACGTCGATGGCGCTCAGAACAAATCACCGACACAGGTTGCAGCACACAGTAGGACCTCGAACCTGCTCACCTCGATATCAGTGGGATAACCGCCACGTCGGCGTCGAAAACCGTCGCAAAGCATGTGTGGTCGTTCTGACCCATCGCCGCCCGAAGCCGGCCGACTCCTATCGACCACAATCGCTCGCCTGGATCCGTTGAGCGGATCCATGCGTGCCTGCACGCATGCATGATTACAACAAATTAGAGAGGTATAGGTGCGCGGCACGACGGTGGAATGACGGGAGCCGAACGACTTCGGCACAAATCAGCGTTGTCGACGACCTAACGCATTACGTCGGCATCACCGATGTGATCTACCTGAACTCTAAGCCCGTCGACATATACTACTAGACGCATTGAAACCCCGCTAGGGCCGACCAGCATGGAATAGGCCCGTCGACGACGACATCTCCATAAGACACTCACTTGAGACCGAGTCCCAAGCAACGGGCGTTAAACTCTAGCATAGGTTTTGTCAGAACGGCGTAGTCGTGCTCTTCGAACTTGGCCGTGTGTCCTCTACCGATGTCTAGATGCAGGGGGAAATCTAGCGAGGTCGGCGCCGCTTCGGCGGCTTTCTGGCCGGCTGCCATGGCGGGAGAGCGAGGATGCTATGCTACAGGCTAAGGGAAGAAACGGTGGGAGTATGGAAGGCGCCGAGGTGGGAGAAAAAATGAAAGAGAAACGAGAACGCGAAAATGAGGGGCCACTGCACCTCCAACGAAGTAAAGCCAGGCGGAGCCACGCAGGCCCGGTTGAGCGTCGCCCAGGGGGCCGTGATGCCTGGCTCGGCAGGGCTCATGCACAAGTGGCGTGGCACAAGTGCACCCTCGCCGCCGAGCCAACAGGTCGACGTCACGTCCCCTGGCCTCGGTCGGCCAGGGGACGCAACTTCGCATGGGCGCGGTGCGACGTTTCGGCACCACGTGTCGATTTCGCAGCGGGTCGCGAAAGCCGTGCGCCCCGTGGTGAACGACCCAGTTTTCGCTCGAATTTCGGGGGGTACGAAATGTCGCATGCATGCGATGCGAAATGACGGGCGAGCACGTGGCGTCACCGCAACGGGTCGCGAAATAGTCGAGCGACCCGAGGGGAGCCCCCGATTTTTGCGTGGACCTCGCCTGCCCGTACGGGCAGGCCGCAATGGGTTACTAGGACCTCGCGGGCACGAGGGAGGGGTGGGCTGCCTTCGCGGCAGGGTTACTTTCCCTCGCCCGAGGTCTCGCCAGCTCGCCGCCCCCACCCGGTAACGTGGGTCGCTGTTCACTCTCGGGGGGGGGGGGGGGGGGGGGGGGGGGGGTTGCGGGGCGGCGGTCGTGCGCCCGGCCCAGCCCCGGGCCAGGCTGGCAGGCCCGCACGCGCGTCACTTGCCCGCCTCGTCAGACCCCTGTCCGTCGACCCCCCTCGTCGACCCTGGCAATTCGGGTCCGTCGACCGAATTCCGCTGGGATCTTCAGCATGATATAGCTCAGCCGACGAATTCCCCCACTCGTTTTCGCCGCACAGAACCGATAGGGTTCCATTTCAGCTCGCCGTCCGACCATCGGAAACTGTATGGCAGACTGGGGCACGGAGCCCTAGGGAACGCCGAACGACCGTCGACATTCCCGTGGGCTGAGAAATACCCACAGGGTATATCTCAACGCGTGCCGAGTTGCCAGCAGGACACGTCGACCGCGGATGCACGACACGCGGCGGGTTACGGACGACATGGATCATGTCCGACCTCCCTCGAATGTCGGCGTCCACACTGCCGTCCACGCGTCACCCGACCACGCCTCAAGCGTCGCGTGGGAAAGAACGCGCGGGCCGTGAGAATGTCGGTGCGTGACACGCGGCGTCAATCGGCGTCACGGCGTAAGTCTGTAAGTCTACGTGGAAGAAATCGGCGGACAAAAAATTGCTCGCTAGAGAGGAACAGGTGGGCAACGAAATGTCGGCGAGCATCGACCGGCGATGCAGGGTCCAGGTATCGAGCATCGACGGCCTGGCACGTGCACAGGAAGCAGATGTGGGGGCAGGATAAATGTCGGCGCCGGACATGCGGCGTACATCGAACGGCTATGCCGGGTCCAAGTGTCGAACATCGGAGGACTATTTCTTGCGCGGGAAAAATGAACCCGAGGTGTCCGCAAAGTCGGCGTCAAAGTATCTCGTGATGAACCCGCGGTTGCCGCAAAGTCGGCGTCAAAGTATCTCGTGACGCCAATCACCGGTGAATGGACTCTGGACCAATGCCACAAGCCTCGGCGTGCCTTGTATTGCTGCCGTGGCATGCCTTACGAAACACCTTCATGGACACTCACGGCGGCGTTGTAGTGGCCATGCGAGAGCCGTGTCACGTCGGAGAATACGCCGCCTCGCGTGGACAGCGGCATGAATGCCAAGTGTCTAGAGCCTTGCCTGCACGGTGGCATGTGCCGAGCCGCGCACGTCCATTACCTCTCCGGAGCCAAGCTGCCACTAGCCATTTTCCCTAATCCCACTTCCTTTCGTCACTTCTTACGCCTGCGCTCTCACACTTAGTTTTTCTCCACCAGGACACGCTCTGCGGAGAACACCGCGGCTCCGGCGTATGACGCCGACCAACTGGTGACACCGATTATCGGGCCATTGGGTTTCGTTGGTCGTAGCAGCCGATTTCACAGTTTCGTCGCCCGTTTTAAACGGGAGGCACAATCGGCTGACAAAAGTTAGAAGAAGAAAGAGGATTGAACTAGCAAGAATGAGGCTACAAATAGCAAACCCTAGAAGGGTTGTACTCGCTATAGAGCACCCCACTACAGGCTAGAACAATAAGATAATATTCTGACACACCCCCATAGCCAAAGTGGGGTGTAATCAGCAGAGCAGGCAAAGCAAAGCAAGCTCAGGGTGGATCACAATGTCACCACACATTCTGAGCACAAGTTCAAGAAGAAATAGTTTAGAGTTCACAATTATAAGCAAAGCTAGTGGTAGTCACAACGGGCAAGTGAGGAGGAGGAGGGAGAGTGAGGGGAGAGGAGACAGGAGGCGACGGCTGAAGCTGCAGACACACGGGCAACAGGAGGCAGACTGGCACAGCAGCTACCGGACAGCGCCCGGACTACAGGAGTAACAGGCCCCGCGGCTCAAATAGCGGCGGACGGGCAACGGACCCACGGGCGGCTGGCACAGCTGGCTACGACTGGGCTACCGGGACAGCGCCCCGGACTACAGGTGCTGCTGACGACAAACTGGCAACCTCCGCTCATCCTCCCGCACACAGTCCCACCCCCCTGATACACACCCACTGCTACACCACTAGCTCTACTCCCACGCACCCCCCTAAAACCCTAAACCCAGTCTCCCACACAACCACCCCCCTCAGCGACAGCTGCAGCAGTGGGAGACGAAGGAGGAGGAGGAGCAAAGGGAGGAAAGTACACTGGCCACCCCCATACCTGCCACCCCACAGCGGCCCCCGAAGGAGCCGCGACGGGCGACGGGAATTGGGAGGGAGGGGAGAAAAGGGGGGGGGGGGGACGGGGCCGGGGCCGCGACGAGGGGCGGGGCCGCGACGGTCGGGGCGGGGCCGCGACATAGGGCGGGGCCGCGACGTAGGGCGGGGCCGCGACATAGGGCGGGGCCGCAACGTTGGGCGGGGCCGCGAAGGTAGGGCGGGGCCGAGCCGGGCAGGCGCACGGGCGGCGACGGGCCGGGGCGGGGCCGCGACGAAGGGCGGGGCCGAGCCGGGCAGGCGCACGGGCGGCGACGGGCCGGGGCGGGGCCGCGACGAAGGGCGGGGCCGAGCCGGGCAGGCGCACGGGCGGCGACGGGCCGGGGCGGGGCCGCGACGTAGAGCGGGGCCGCGTCAAGGGGCGGGGCCGCGACGATCGGGGCGGGGCCGCGACGTAGGGGAGAAGCCCGCCGCGCGCCTCGGGGCACACAGCGGGCAATGAACCGCCGCGCGCCTCGGGGCGCACGGCGGGCAGAAAACCGCCGCGCGCCTCGGGGCGCACGGCGGGAGGAAAAAGTAGCAGCGGAAGCGAGGTGGTAACCCACCCACAGGATCGATCCAAGGGGATCGACCTGCTCTGATAGCATGTCAAAATTTAGAAGAAAGAAAGAGGATTGAACTAGCAAGAATGAGGATACAAATAGCAAACCCTAGAAGGGTTGTACTCGCTATAGAGCACCCCACTACAGGCTAGAACAATAAGATAATATTCTGACATCGGCCAGATCCGTGGAGAAAGGCCGAGACTGGTTTAGGGTTGCGCTGTGCGTGGTCGGCGACCGGCCTTGTGCAACGCCGCCGGAAACAAACCCATCTGAGGGGGACATCGCCGCGCAGTTGGCGCAAGCTTCTCTCGCCGCCCGCTTAGATACAGACACTAGGGTCACAAGGTCACTAGAGGCGAACACAACGCAGCAGCAGTACGCCGCAGCCGTTACCCAAAACCGCCATTTTATGCCCGACCCGCCGACCAACTCGCCGGCTGGCCCTCAGTAGACAACAAGCGCTGTTAGGACGTACGGCCGAGGCCAACATGTCGGACTACGTTCCGCTGGCAGCCCAGGCGCGGGTGAACCTGACCGGTGATGCCACAACGCCGGCCGGCGTCCGCCCCACCACCATTCCGGCAGTGACGCTGCATCTGATTTACGATCTAGATGCGTTGGCTACAATTCTCGTCGACCCTGACATTCCGCCGCCACCTGTAGGCGATCCCCAAAAGCGACGTCCTATCCAGCCGGAGGAGGACTCCTCGTCTAGCAAGAGAAGGAGGAACCCCAGCCCGGCCCGGGACCTAGACGCCAACGTCGGCCGCTCACTCGAGCCGAGAGGGATTGAAGAGAGATAGAGGCGGCGTTGGCCGAGGACGAACCCGAGGATAGGCTGCACGCGAGCGTCCCGCGAGGAGAATTTACGGCGGCTGAGTTTGTGGTCGAGGATCTGAAGAACAGCGACACCGAAGTGCTGACAGCCAATGCCCTTCGCCACACGGAGACGCTCGAGGAAGGGTCGTCGCTGCGGCAGTACATATCGTGGATACTAGACTACAAGCGGTGGGCGGTGGATGCTCTTCCGTCAGAAGGTGACGACCTGGAGCCGGGGTCCATACTCACTGACAAGGACGAAATCGGCAAGCACATCGGCGATGATTTGGGCGAACGTTGGCACACCGCCCCGCGCCAGTTCATCTGGTTGCACGGCCCGAGGACCAACGAGCCTCGAATTCGCGCTTACGTCTTGTTCAGAGCGCGAGAGACCCTCATCGAGGCAATGAGGAGCGAAGAGGGCAACACCGCCATGCGCACGCAGCCGATCAAGCCTTGCACGGTCAACATGCTACTCGGCCGCATCAAGGCCCTTCAGATGGCGGCCAGGGTAGAGGCGACCCTGTACAAGGAGAAGGAGCTGCAGATCATGCAGGACATCTCGGTTGTCCGGACGGAAGTGCGCGTCATGGTTCGCGGAAAGAACAAAGCCGACACCAAGTAAGATGTTTTAACATCGCCGACTTTGCCAGTCCTCTCTAGTATTCCCTCCAATGCTCACCGACGCCGCTCACACTCAATCATCACCCTCGCACTCTCCTCTTGCGCAGAAAATATGTCGACCGACATCGCGGAACCATCGGCGACACTTACACCACCGAGCAGTTCCGCAAAATCATGTTCAAGGTGTTGCCGCACTGGTCGGCGACGGCGTGGAATCCGAGGGGAACAGGTCCTTCCCAGACTCTGTGGAAGTTCATGCTTATGAGAACGATGACCCTGCTATCGCACCACACTCTGCTCCGCGGTGCCAGCGTACGCGAGATCACGCTCGCCGACATCTTTCTGTACCGCCTTGCTAGCGGGTCGTCGGTGAACCCTGACAACCGGCCAACGGTCATGGTCATCGCGCAGCGCAACTCGAAGACGTGCAAGGACGCCCGTCTTCATCACAGCTACACGGCGAGGCACTTAGAGGCGGAACTGTGTGCTGTGGGCGATACAATCCTCTGGCTGCACTTCATCTACGACCAGGTCCCCCAGATCTTCGGCGTCCCCATAATTCCGCCGCTGGACGTACGCCGACCGGAGCTTTGGTACGACAAGCATCTCTTCTTCGCCCGCTACGACAAGGATCAAGGTTTGCTGCCGTTGTCGAGCCAGCAACGAATCACTCGGCAGCTGTGGACGGCCAACAAGGTTTTCATCAAGCGCAACGTGCACGCCGCTCGCGCCGGCGGGGCACAAGAGCTGGCTGACCAAGGCACGCCGCGCGCCGAGATAGCCGAATTGGGTCACTGGGCTATTGACAAGATGACGAGGAGTTACATCACTTCAATTCCAGTCGGGGTGGTGATGAGGAAGGCCGGCTACTCCGGAGCCCGAAGCGACTACTTCCTGGGCCGCAGCAGGCTACCTCCCAGCGCAGACCTCGAAAAAACCATCGCCGCACACATATTTCCCGGCGTCGAGGAACAGTTGGGGGCGGTGAGTCTAGCGACGCCGTCCTCATGCATCTTGTCGTCTCTCTTCACTGGTTCACACTGACATTCCTCTATTTCATGCAGGCGGAAGAGCTCGCACAAGGGCCTGAGGCAAACACGGCCGCGGTGCACTTTATCCAGACCATGCTGGATGCACGCCGCATTGCGGCCGAGGACCTCACGGTGAAACTCGTCCGCACTCCGTGGCACCCTCAGGTCCAGGCTTCGAGGCTTTGTCGGGATCGTGACTTTCAGGCGTGGGCGAAGGACATCGAGAAGATTGACACCGAGACGATCGCCAAGCGCCGGTCGCCGATCCCGACCCAGCCAGCTGTAAGCACAAGATGAACTCCGCGTGACTTGGCGGCAAGCGTGCTTGCATCACCTGACTCCTAACCCGCTCCGCTGCTGTTCGCAGGAAATCTCAGCCCGCCTGGACGTCGAATTTCAAGTCGACCTTCTGAACGAGACGCTGGCCTACGAGAGCCACAAAGCGACGCTCAAGCAGATGAAGGTGGAGAAGGAGCTCGAGGAGGCGCGTGCTGCTATCGCGGCGAGGGACGCCGAGATCTCCCGGCTCATGGAGGAGCTCAAGATCTCCGAGGCACGTAGGGCGCCAGCGCCACAGGCGCCTTCTAGGCCGACGACCCTGGAAGAGGAGGCAGCTGCGGCCGCTAAGCAAGCTCAGTTGGACGCCGACGCTCACTACGAGGCCCTGGTTGTCGACCCATGGAGAAGGGCCGAGACTGTGGCAGAGGCCTGGCGCTTCTGGAATTGCCCCACCACCACGGACCGCCGGCGTCTCTGCGACAAGATCAACGAGCCAGGTTTCATCGGGCGGCACAGCCTCCTGGGCAAGTCGTCGGCCAACGCAAAACAGGGTGAGATGCGCCGAATGAGGAGGGCGATGGAGGCCGTGCGCCGCTTCCGCTCGTCAGACGGAGAGGCCGACACCGCCGCCGTCATCAAGAAACTCGACGAGCTCGCTGCGTCGGGAATTGTGACCTTCTGCGATGCTCTAAAGATCATCGACGCCGACGCGCTTCCGATACGCACGGAGGGGAACCTGGGCATCAAGGGGCTTTCTAAGGGTGAAAAGCCCAAGCTGACGGTTGCTTGGGGACTGGTGGCGGCGGGATACATGACGCACAAGTGGGGCGAGGACATGTTCCCGACCACGTGGGAAGAGCAGAAAGCTGTGGCGGCCGAAGCGGCCGCGGAGCAGGCCGCTGGAAGACCGCCACCGCTGCCAACGAAGACGTCCAAGCGTCGGAAGCCGGGCTGATGTTTTGTCGCCGCTTAGCTACTTTCTTTTAGCTCGATTGCTACTTTTGTTTCCGACTTACTGTGGATTCAATGTTCCCAACAGTTGAGAATTTGGCAAAGAACCGAAAACATGAGGGCGTTTCATGAACAGCAAATTAACCTACGTGCTAGAAACACAGCAAAAGTGCACAATAAAAGTCGGCGCCCACCAAAACCCCACAATCAATCAACAATCTTGCTACACATTGCGACGTCGGTCCAGAACACAACGACAGACACAACAACAAAACCCATCTACGCGGCGTGCTTCCCCTTCTACCCCTTCTTTCCCCTGTTATCCATATCCTTTTCCATCTGCTTGTCCAGCGGCACTTGAATGCCGCGTGCTCGGTGAAGGGGGCCGCCGGCGTTGCACGACCCCCAGAAAGCGAGGGTCTCGATAGTCGCCCTCGCGATAATCTCGGCGTCGGGTGTGGGGTCACAGCCCTTGCACGCCTTCCGAAGAGCATCCTTCTGCAGTGCGTCGGTGACGTTGCACGAGACCTCTCCCAGGACGGGTTGTCTTGCAACCGCCGTTTCTAGCACCGCAACCACGACGTCGTGACAAGTGTCAGCAAAATCGGTGCTCGCTTCACACAGCAGTGCCGCCGCCTTCGCTTCACCCACCGCATTGCCGACCTCGGCCGCGGTCTCGGCGAAGCACCAGACGGCGCAGGATGAAGCGGCGACGGCTTGGCCTATGCGCTTGGCGTCTGCACCAGTTTTGGGGACGGCATCTGCCGCGACTGGCCCAAACGCCGCGCACAAGCAAGCGCGGTTGATGATGTCGCTGAGCTGCTGCTTGCGCTTGGCCAGCTCCCAACCAGTGCCGAACCACACCGCCGGCCTCAGCACTTTCATCAGCGGGGGCCCTGATGACTTCTTCTGTTTGAAGTCGGCGAGGACTTTCTGGAACCTGTCACGCACGACGTGGAACGTGAACGTGGTTAGTCGGCGTAAAACCCCACAGTCAGACCTAATCACGCCGCTCAAAACACATCGAGTCCCACGATTCTTACCGTGCACGAAACATGGTGGCGCCGCGGGACCACATCACCGTCCACATACCCTTCGGCATCACCTTTGCCTCCTCCCACTCCGCCTTCCACCGTGTCATTTCTTCGGCTTTAACGCCGGTCATTTCGGCCAACAGGACTTGGCTGGCGTGTCCGTCGAAGATGGTCGTCGCAACGCCGTTGAGGTACGCCACTTCCATCCTGTCGTCCGATCTCCCCGTGTAGCGACTCTTTCCAGCCAGGTTTACCTCGCCCTGCCACCCGCCACCGCTCGTCCTGTCCAGCCTAATACCATGCCCCCTGCGATCTTTCGGAACGACGGCCTTCTCCGACGCGGCGGCTTTACCCTTCCGTTTATTCTTTTTTTCGCCGACTCCAGCCGCACGATCGGTCTGTCCATCCTTGTCGGCGTGTTCACCCACTGGTCCACCGGCCAGAATAGTGGACGTCCCCGCCTGACCCGCCAGGTCCGCAACAGTGACGCCCGCCAACCTGTCCGAAGGCCCGGCCTGGCCGGCCTGACTAGCCACTGTAACGGCGGTGGGCCGAGTGGACTCTCCCGCCAGACCAGCCTGGTCAGAACCAGTGACGCTGATCGGGCCGGTCTGGAAGGCCCTATCCACCTGTATGAAGCCGGCAGGATGACTCTGAATGGGCGGAACAGCCAAACGGGCCGGCTGCACGGTCGGCCCGGCCTGGGTGGACGCTGTAACACCGGCAGGCCGACCCTCCACGCCACTGATGCCCGACGTACCTCCCACAGACCGAAGTGCGGCAACTTCGTCTGCTTCTATCGCCGCTTGTATCAATTCCACATCCTCGTCCTCGATGATGAGAGAGATCTCCCCCGCACCATCGTCTCCTACCACCGCGCCCCAATCACCTTGTCCAGACGCCGCGCCGACCTGGTGATGCATTGGCACCGCCGTTGGAACCGTCTCGTTTGCCGCTTCTTGGTGTACGGGCTCCGCCAAGTTCACCGTGGTCGGCACAGTGCGCGTGCCGTGAGTCTGCGGTTGAGCGGATTGTGCACTTGCTGAAAGCGCGTTGACCTCGGCCATCAGCATGTCCGAGACTGGGTTCGACGGCGTGGCAACAGCGGCAGGGAGCTGCATGGTCGGCGCAGCGCTGGTGACAGTAGTTGGCGGATGCGATGAAGGTGCCGCCTCTTGAAACGAGTTGATCGCGGCCAGAAGCATGGCCGCGACCGGGTCCGTGAGGGTCTCACCGGCGTTGTCTTGCCCCGTGCCTGGCGCTGCGACGGGCCCACCAGTCGGTGGATCACCATATGGTGCTGCCGTGTGACGCGCGGTGACATCGGCCGAGACCGAGGCTGTTGGTGCTGTACCGGCGACAGGTTGCACCCCCCGGCGAGTTGTTGGGACAGCGGCGTTGTCGATGGTGACGGGCTGCTGCTGCGATGGCGCCTGAAAAGCAAGAAGCTCCTCCATCAACGCTCTCGCCACGGGATCATCCTCCGCGCCGAGGGCGCCCGTGTCCACCCCTACGCCGACCACAGGAGCCTGGTGAGTCTGATCGCCGATTGACGGAGCCTCAACATCGAATGGCGGCCCGCGATCAACGCCTATCGCCGCGTCGGCCTGCACTTCAACCGATTCAACGGCGACGTTACCACGATAGAACGGCGGTGGTGCTACCTTGCTTGCTCCAGGACGTGGAATCTCCGAACCTTTCCTTCCACCGCCGTGAGTGGAAGACCCGCCGGCTCGCACACCCTCCTCGGCGGCAGTCCTGCCCTCCGAGCTGCCGCCAGCTCCGCCTCTACTATGCGGGCCAAGGAGCCGAGTTGTCGCCCCTTTTCTCTTCAGCATGTCGAGGACGGGAGAACCAGACTGGGCACGATCCGGAACGTCGCCGCCGACTGCTCGCTCCACACCAACACCTTTACTCCGCTTCGAATTTCCCGCGTTGTCGCCGTCGGCTGCACTTCCGCTGGCAGCCCTTTTTTCCGGCCTATGCCTTTGCGCGGTCTCCGGGTCGCCGGCCGACGGGGACGAACCACGCCGCCCCAGCCTCATTGTAGCAAGCACGTTGGGCAGAAGCGTGAAGCCGACGGTTCCCAGCGCCTGCTGCGTGACGGCGGTTACCGCCTGAACAATGTCATCCCTCATTGCTTTGATGACTTCTTCAGGCAGCGCGGGGGATGGACCGGGCGGGGGCGGCACGATGCTGCGCGATAAGCCGCCGACGATGTTGGTGGAAGTTGAGGCTAACTTGGTCTGGATGTATTCGGCCAACACCGCCTTAACGTCATCCCCCACTCTGGTCACGTGGTTCCCCAACCGCACGTCGGCATCACGGCGGGCGACGGCCAGCTTGTCCAAGCCCTTTGTGATTTCCCCCAACAACGGCGTCGCCATGCTGCTGCACGCCTTGACCAGAGCAACCCGATCGTCCAGCACCTTGGTGAAGACGCCGGTCATGGCTGCTGTGGCTGTGGAGATGTGTGTCCCCGCAGTCTGCTCGGCGGCGGCGACGCGTTCGGTAAGCGACTTGATAGCCGCGAGGCACTCAGCCGCCGTCGCCAACAACCCCTCCGTCCGACACCTCTCGGTAACCAGATCCGACCGCAGCCCCGCATTCTCGTCCCTCAGTTTCATGTTCTCCTCTTCTAGTCGCTTCACGTGAGCAAGTGCGGCTGCAAACGCCGACTTTGAAGATGTGGTCGACGCAGGCTGACCATGCACCGGCGCCTTCCTACGAGGCTTGTCCCCAGCCAACGCTGCAGTTGCGCCTGTCCCGCCGGTCGACGTCGGGTCGCGACCAGCACCGCGGTCGGCGTCTGTGTCCGCCTCAGCACCAACAGCCATCTTCCCTGCACGCTCCTCCTCCTCTTCATCCTCCTCCTCCTCCTCCTCCTCGGATCCCGACTCTGACTCTGAGTCAGTAGATGACTCAACAGACCCTGCCCTCTGCTCCTCTTCTCCTACCAAGTCGGCCTCGCCACCGCCGCCAACATGACCGCTAGTTCTAGTGTCGTGCGCGCCGGAATACGCCGGGTGATACACGCCAGCTTAAGACGCCGTCTTAGTTACGATTCCGTCGTCGTCGAGGGGGGAGGTACTTGGCCCAGTAGGGTGATTGGACGGCGCCGACCGCCTCTCAGCAACGCATCTCTTGACGTATTCCACTAGCGCCGATTTGAGTGCCCTCAACCCCTGAACCATCGGGTTCTCAGCGCTCGCCGGTGCACGTGACTTGAGTAGGGCTCCGCTCTCTCTGACCACCCATCCGAACGCGCTCACAGCATGCAATCCGGTGCCGACCTGTTCGTTCTTCACAATGTCCGGCAATCTCTGCGTACAACCGTTGCAAGGGCAGGCTAGGTGAGCCGAGGGTGTACCAACGCAAGCACAGTTAGACGACCAATTAAAGTCGGCTACAAGGTCGACAGAAACTCACGTCGCGCGTGGGCCAGTCGCAACCGGCGAGTCGAGCCACCACGACCTCCTCAGCGGGAGGCGCCCACTTCCATGTCCTGTCACTTCTTCCAAGCTCGGCCAAAACACAGCGCCGGAAAAAGCTGCAACAGCAATGCACGAAAGAGTCAGTGGGGACGCCGTCGAGAAACCAGTAACCTGGTAAAGAGCCTTCCCAATTTAAGCATGCCTACCTCAGCACGACGAGCGCCTCAGACGAATGCAGCCGGTTTGCAGTCTTCGGGTCCAGGTGGCGGAACGAGGTCTCGCTGTCGACGTCGACGGCCTTCAGCAAGTCGCCGGGCTGAAGAACCACGACGACGCTGCAGTGGACCCCGGGAAGCGGCCCGATCCTGCACATGAACCATGTGACGCCGATATAAAACATCGAAGTTCAACATGACGTCAACGACAACGCAACATCGCACTTTCTCACGTCGTGATTATAGGTAGCACGGCAATGTCGGCGTCGAACACCGACTCAAAACAGGTGAGGTCGTTCTTCTTAATCGCCTCGCGAAGACGCCTGCACCCTATGATCCACGGCTTCAAGTCCATCGGAGCTTCGCGAATCCACATGTACCTGCAGTCAACAAACTCGTGGGGACATGTGGCATCGGTTCAGGATTGCGAACTCGTTGCCGGCGAAAGTAGTTAGGATAGCGGCCTTGAACGCCGACATGGACGCGCTCACGACAAACCTAGGCGTGAAAACCTTTCGTTGACCAAAACCCTATCGACTGGTAGTAACTAATTCTGCAACGTTGAGTCGGCCTGCAGTTACTAAGTCGGCGGAACAAAGAGACACGGACGTCGTCGCTTACTCGCACGCCGAATTAGTAACGCGCTCCAAATAATAACATCCTATAGGTCGTCGGGATAAAAAATGGCCGGGGGAATTCGTCGGCTGAGCTATATCATGCTGTACTAAGTCGGCGGAACAGTGAAGTTTCCAAGTCGGCGGGAAATGGACATGGACACCGTCGCTAACTCGCACGCCGGATTAGTTACTAGGTCGGCGGGGCGGCGTGTTAAAAAAGAGCTACTAACTCGACGGAAAGCAAAAGTGGACAAGGGTTCCGCCTTGACTGAAGGAGGGACTCACTTGAGCGCGAGTGCGAAGCAAGGCTCGTTGAAGTATTTTTTCGTGGCGCGCAGCACGGCGAAGTCCTTCTCGTCAAAAGAGAAGGTGAGGCCACGGCCCATGTTGAATTACAGGGGGAAGTCCGCCGAGGACGGCGTCGGCGTTGCGGCGCCCGGCGTCGGGTGAGCGGCGCCGCTATTCAACTCCATGATTGCGAAGGCACGACACTACCGGCGACCGAAGGCACGACACTACAGGCTATCTAGCAGCAGCAGGACAGAGGAAGGCGCAGAGGTGAGAAATGTGAAAGGCGAAATGAGAAGAGCAAAATGGGGCGTCGGTCACTCCGTCCACAAAGATAAGGCACGACGGACGCAGACCAAGGCGGTGGCCAAAACCGGCCTGGAGGCCGAAGTGGCTCGGCACGATGAGCAACAACCTCGTCCAATCGCATGCTCGTCGGACGCCGGGCCACATCGGCCTCATCACGTCCGCTCGCGTGGGTAGGCGTGGGGGTCTGGTGGCATGCAGCGTCACAAGGGCCTGGCATGCAGCGTCGTCCCTGGGCAGACACGTGTCCACACACCAGCGGGTCGCGAATTGGCCTAGGGTCCCGAGGGGAGCATCAGTATTTCGCCGGGCCCTCGCCTGCCCGTAGGGGCAGCGCGAGAGGGTTACTAGGTCGTCGAGGGCAGGGCCACGGCGAGGGCTGCCTTCGCCCTTGGGTTACTTCCCCTCGCGCGAGGTGGAGCGAGTTCGCCGCCCCCACCCGGTAACGTGGGGTGCTGTTCAATTACGCAGGGGGGTTGAGGGGCGGCGGGCGTGCGCTCGGCCCAGCCCTGGGCCAGCCTGGCGGGCCCGCACGCGCGCCAGCTCCCCGCCTCGGCGGTGCTGGGCCCGTCGACCTCGTCCGTCGTCCCTGGCAAACTGGGCCGCCGGAACTCTGTCGGATGAGCTATTCAGAAGCGAATCCAGCAGTGCTTGGGAGAACACCTGTGCACCGAAGCGACTGAACCGCACCCGTGCACAGAGAGAGAAAAAATAAGAGAGCGATAATAAGAGGTGGTGCTGAGCTGAACCGCACGATTTTCCTGCAGTACAGCGGTGTGCTCCCGTTTCCCCTAGTTCGCCATCATGACGTCATCATGACTCGACAGCCATGTCGGCTGCCGAAGCGTCACGCGGAGTTTCGAGATTCTCCGTTAAGGTGTCAGCCCGTCGCCTCACACAACCATCATGATGGTTTTGATGCCTTGTCTGCGATGGCAAGTCCCACTAAGTATCATCCCAGTCTTCCCATCCGACGCGTCCACGTGGAGCAGCGCCGCCCGGCGCGCTCCGGCGTCGTCCACTGCGGCGCAGTCGTCGTCGCCGCAGCAGCGGGGCCTCGCCGGCTC